AGGCTGTGGAAGGGATGGGGATTCTGAGAGCTTTCATTGACGAAGTAAAGACAGGGCAGAGAACAGGTTGGGAACTGGAAAGGCTTAAGAGTAGGGAGAAAATGATTCCTAACCTAGAATTCATACAAAAGTGCTACGTGTAAAAACAATAAAGGAGATATGTAAGAAAAAAAAAAAAACAGGTAAAATTCAGGGCAGGAGAGATGGCTCAGTGATTAAGAGCACTGGCTCTTCCAGAGGTCCTGAGTTCAATTCCCAGCACCCATATGGTGATTCACAACTGTCTGAAATTCCAGTATATCCAACACCTTTTGGCTTTTGTAGGCACTACACACATGGGGCACACAGATATACATGCAGGCAAAACACCCATATACATTTAAAAAAAAAAAAAGATGATGTCTCCTAAAATGTACTTCCCTATTCTCAGGAAGCTGCTGGGAGATGTGTTTACCAAAATGAAATAATAAACCAAGAAAAGAAAAATAAAATGGGAAGAGTATACATAGGAGAGGAGGGTGGTACTGTAGGACTCAGGGTACAGCCTAGTAGTCTGCAGTGGAAAAGGTTTAAAACTTCAGGAGACGTCAAGAAAGGAGAGCTGACAGGCTACTTGGGAGACTACAAATGCAAAGAAACTTTGGACTGAATTGTGCTTAAGAACATAAAAGAAGACATTAAATTAACTATATTTACAAAGTTTTATGGAGGAAAGTCACACCTTACTCTATGGTCAACATGACTCTACATTATAATAACAATCATCACCAACTTGAGAGGAATTCAAGGTGACTTTACCAGGAGAATGGGGATGTGGGAGTAAACATGTAGGTGATGACAGCAAGGGAGGGAGGAGCCCCTAAAGCCTGCAAGTTCCAAAAAGCATGTTTGATTTAGAGGCAAATAGCAAAGGACCAACTAGAGGAGGCAAGCGGGGCTGCATCTGTGGAGGAACAGAGCTGGGGCTCATACTGGGGAGAGAAGGCTAGGGTCTGAGGTTTTCATGTAGTTAGTTTCTTGTTTTTTAAAGACAGCGTCTCACACTTTGGCCCAAGCTAATCTGAAGCTAACTACAAAGCCCAGTCTAGTCTTAGAGATGCTGCAATCCTCTTGCCTAAGCTCCATCCTGCCAGGATTGCAGACGCCATGCCCAACCCCAGGTGATTCTGAAAGCTATACTTACATAACCCTGGGAAAAAGCATCCTAAAGAATGACATTATCAATATTCTCATCTATAGCACAGTGAAAAAGGAAGCCACGCAGCCATGGGAACCCATGGGCATGTCAAAACTCCATTGCCTTGGTGCAGGCTTTGACTTGAAGCAGCTGTTACTTGCTGGTGAGTATACTGAGAAAATGTTTCTAAGCAACTAACACATGTGAAATGAAAAACAATGACATTGGAGTCAACTGAACACAGAGAAATTTTATTTAAACTCTTGTTAAGGTTTTTGTTTTATTTAAATAGGGGGAATAATTTTTCTTTTTTTAGTAATATCATTATCTGACATAAATAAACTAAAAAGAACTCCACAGTGGGCAAATTTTACTCTGTATGCTATTTATAAGGTGGACTTAAAAGCTGGTATGTGTGTACATGTCAACTGCTGTGGATCAAACCTAGAGCAAACACAGTTGGCAAGCACTCTGCCACTGAACGACATCCTCAGCCTCACAAAGCTTTTCTGATCAACACTGGAATAAAAGTAAAATCATTCCAGGTTCAAATCTCTACTAGAGATTTCATTTCTTTATCTGTGGCATAATCTGCTTTCTATTTGAAGAAGTAATTGGGGCTAGGGAGATAGCTCAGTCAGTAAAGTGCTTGCTTTATAAACTTGAGGGCTTGGTTTTGATGACCAGAACCCTTTAAAACAAAAACAAAAACAAAGACAAGCATGGTGGGAAATGGTTTTAATACCAGCAGTGAGGAAACAGGTACAGATAGGCAGATCCCTGGGGTTGGTTGGTCACCTAGCTTAGCCTGCCTGGTGAGCTCCAGGCCAAAGGGAGATTGTGTCATAAAACAAGGGCTCACCTCTGGTACACACACACACACACACACACACACACACACACAGGAATAGTAAGGTCTGGGAGATGGCTCAGTTGGTTAAGTGCATAATGTACATGAGTATCCGAGTTTGATCCTTAGCAGCCACAGAGGAGAGCCAGATATGGAGAAATGCATCTGTAACTCCAGCACTTTGAAAGCAAAGAAGACAGATACCTGGAGCTCCTCAGACAACCACCGGCCTCCATATCCACAAGCACACAAGTATGGAGCCATTACGTACAAACACATGTGAAGAAATGCTATCTTTTTAACGTATATTACCTCATACTATAACAAATGGTAGTTTAATAAGCACTTTAATTAAACCTTTTGTAACAGCATTATATTATAGTTTGGGTTCTCTGGGCTAATCTTACTACGTTAAATTTTGATTCTTCTTGTTCACATCAGCATAAGAGCAGAATGAAAGGTAAACTCTGCAGGACCTCCCTCACTTGCTTCCCTAATGCCCAGAGGACATTAATTCAGTGTTCAGAGGGGTGGAAAGCTCTTTTCCTTTGTAAGGCTTTATTTATTTTCACCACTGAAAAATGCCAATTAAGAGAGTCATGATAATGCTATTCCTGAGAGAAAAAGAACCCATGAGAAAAACCTGGAGAATCAGCAGTTGGCTAGAGATGGAACTAGGGGTGGGGTGAGTTGTGCTTGCTAGGCAAGTTAAAGCCCCAACCTTTAGACACATTTTACAGACTATTTTTTTTTCTTTTTTAAACAATTTATTTTATTTTATGTGCACTGGTGTGGGGATGTCAGATCCCCTGGAATTGGAGTCACAGATATGAGCTGTCATGTAGGTGGCTGGGAAATGAACCCAGAGCAGCCTCTGGAAGAGCAGCCAGTGCTCCTAACCACTGAGCCTTCTTTCCAACTCCTACAGACTGCTTTTTACAATAGCAGGCATGTGATAAATATCTTATTAGTCCCAATATTGTATCAGTACCTTTGAGGGAGGGCTTTTGATTAACATTCACCTTCTTTTAGGAGGCTTCCTATGTGTGATTCAGTCAATTAGAAATGCAAACAGGAAAGTGAACTAACATGCCTTTGTTTTCTTTTAAGACCTTAAAACTTGTCCTAGTTTCTGTGACCCAAATATCTTTCTGACTTCTGAAGGAAAGCATTCATGCATGCATGCCAACTGTCCTAGACATCATGCTTGGGGCTTAATGGGCCAATGGGAGGTTAGGCTCTAAGAAAAGAGAACAGATGCATATCTGGGTTAGTTACTTGACGACTGTGAGCTAGAAACGCTTCTTAACACATTACTTTCCTCATATTAAAGCCAATTCTGTCTGCAGGGTAACCTTAGTTTTCTTCTTCTAGACTCAGCCAAGTTATATTCTGACTCACTTGTCTACTCTAAAAAATTCTTACTCAGTGCTAAGAAAAGCAGCAATTAACCACCGTGGCAACAAGGTAGTCGGTGAACCTGTGTTGGTATTTAAAGCACTGAAGAATGTTCTAAGTTCAACTTAATATCTTGTTGTTTTATCAACAGTAGTCATATCGCACACTGGTATTTCTAGAACCCTAAGCAATGTAATCCATCTGTCTGCTCTGGAGAGTGCATGGTTAATCATTTTCTTTCACTGTGTTAAATATATTTCAGTCTCATTCAAATTATTCTATCGTTTCATTTGGTAGACAGAGGATAACAATCCTCTGCTAAATCTTTCCTCATTTTTTCTTATTTTCATGTTTTGATCAAATGTGAGCTCATTAGCAACATATTTTCTTTTCAGCTGAGTCTTTTTTTTTTACAAAAAAGATTTTATTGATTACTTTTACCTTATGTGTATGAGTATTTGCTTGCATATATGTATGTATGTGTGCCATGTGTGTGCAGTACCTACAGAAGCCAGAAGGTGGTGTTGGAGCCCTAAAACTAGAGTTACAGATTGCTGTGAGCTGCCATGTGGGTGCTGAGAACTGAACCATGGTCCTCTGTTAAGCACAGGCAGTGCTCTTAAGCGCTGGGTTTCTTGAGTGGGAAGTCAAGCCAGGCAGGGTGGCGTACGCTTATAATCCTACACATAGAGGAGGTAAAGCCTGGAGGATCAGAAGTTCAAAGTTATTCTCAACTACATGGGGAGATGCCAACTTAGGTTAAGACCATTTCAACAAACAAACAAGCTTTAAAATATTTATTGAGTAAGTAACTCTCTAAGTAACTGCATAGCTGTTTTTTTTTTTAATTTTTTTTATTAAAACAAAATACAAACTCATCATAGAGTTACCATAGTTCATCACAAAAAAAGTTTTTCCTTAGAGGTTCATGCACTGGGAAGCTGGATCCTTAGCATGCTGAAGTTGAGACAGGGGGATGGCCTAATGGGAAGTGTTGAGGTCACTAGGAACATTACCTCTTTGAAGACATTACAGTAGTTCTTGTGAAAGTCTGTCTAGGTTTTGGAAGAGTGAGGTTTTTTTATTTGTTTGTTTGTTTTGTTTTGTTTGGGACAGAGTTTCTGTATGTGTAGCTTTGGCTGTCCTCGAACTCACTTTGTAGACCAGGCTGGCCTCAAAATCACAGAGATCCACCTGCCTCTGCCTCCTGAGTGCTGAGATTAAAGGTGAGAGCCACTACTACGTGGCTGAAAAAGTACGTTTTTACTTAAGAAAAAAAAAAAATCACTGCCTCTGCCTCTCCTTTGTTTCCAGTGTTGCCACTGTGACCTTTCTCTTATTATATGTCATCTTCCACAATTCTACACAATGCAAGGGAGCCAAAGCACCCTCACCATGGTGATTAAATATCGACATCATGCACATAAACCTCTCAAACTGTAAGCTAATAAGCCTCTTTACGTGGGTATTTTGTTATAGCATTGGAAAACAAGCTACTACAAATGGATCACTTTACATATAAAGGAAAATCAGCCTTATTATTAACAAGCTCTCCAAGTGAAGTTAGACTCTGACCTGCAAGTTATTCAGAGGTTCCATCTTCATGACGGGGCCCAAGGTGTTGAGAGGCAGTGAGACATCAATGCTCTGGTTTGGCATCAGTGGAGTATGTATGGCCAGGGGAGTGCTTGGGATGACACCAAAGCTAGAGAGAGGAGGAGGAATGCCCAGACATTAGTCAAGAGGCAGGACTCACACACTTCTAGGTTTCCATGCTCTTTACCACAGTGAAGTAACTTTCAGGACAGATAAATGGAAGGAATAGCAGGAAGCAGTGTGTTCAGCTGACCTGCTCTAACCTGACTATGCCATAACTTGTGATTGTTTATATGGATTAAAAAGACAAGTGTTCACAGGCAAGAACTGTTGCTGATGCTATGATTTTGAAAGACTCTTCTGTATATCATGTTACTGGAGGGACAGTTTTAATGATCATCTCATATATAAATTTTTTTCTATAAATAATCTTTTGGAAAAAGATTTAAGCATCTCTCCTGTGAGTAGCCCTAGCACCTGTGAGGCTAGCACAGGAAGATCACACGGAATGTTCACTCTGAAAAGAAAAGCATGGAAAATTAATGTTCTATCTCTAGCTTAATAACCTATCTGGTCAATGCAGAGAGTAACAGTATACGCTGTTTTTACTGTTCTAGATGGAGGAGAAGCAGTGAAGAAGGATACCTTTTCTTTGCCAGTATTTGTCATTTTCTTGATTGCCTTTCTGATTGGATGAAACAGACTTTCAAAATGGTTTTATTTTACTTTTTCCCAACAGACATATGGACATTACCATTATTGTCACCGTGTTTCTTCTTCGGAAAACTGTATGTTCGGTCAGCTCATTAGCCTATTTACTGGTTAGGTCTTTGTTTCTGTTTTTGTTTTTTGGGGGGAGCTGTTTTCTTTTTTTTTTTTTTTTTGGTTTTGGTTTGTGAGATAAGGTTTCTTGTAGGCCAGACTAGCTCTGAACTCACTGTGTAGCCAAGGATGATCGTGAGCTGCTGAATCTCCTGCCTCCACCTCCTGCGTATTGGGAACACAGGCATGTCCACCATGTCCCAATTTGACTGGAAAATAAATTTTCAAAAACCATTTTTGATGAGGCATGGTGGTACATACCTTTAATCCCAACACACAGGAGGCAGAAGCAGGCAGATCTCTGAATTCCAGACCAATCTGTTTACAGAGTGAGTTCTAGAACAGTCAGGGCCACAAAGAGAAATCCTGTCTTTAAACACCAAACAAGAACAATAACAAAAACATTGTGCTTCTTTCTCCTCTCCCCTGAAATCCTGTGGGGTGTGTGTGTGTGTGTGTGTGTGTGTGTGTGTGTGTGTGTGTGTGTCTGTCTGTCTGTCCATGTGTCTGTGTGGTGCTGGAAATCCAGCCCAGAGCTTTGTGTGTACTGAGTGAGTGTTCTACCACTGAGCTATACCTCGAACCCATAACTTTGTCCTTATTCTGTAGAGATGAAGCCAACAGTTGAACAGACTTACAAGAGCCAAGCTCACTCTCCATTCAGGACTTGCCAGCTTGAGCTTTTAGCCCCTGCTGAATGGAGCACTCCTTTGTTCAGTAGAGAGCACACGACTGTGCAGCACCGAACCCAGGATGTTGCTTCTTACCTGTTCTTGTTGAACTGGATGGCAAAGTCTGTCATGTGTTGCAGAGCTTTGTTGGTAAAGTTCATTTCCATATAGATATGCCCCTGGCGGTGAGTGAACGTCCCCGAGATCTCCAAACCTTTAGCCTTTACCGCAGGTAGCCAGACCTGATGAAACACAACACAAAGCCCAGGAAAGATTTAGCTTGATGCTGCTTCTTCCCCAGCGTATAAAGGAAAATTACGATGATTTTTACACAACAAATCCTAATTTCGTGTGAAAAGGTATGAATAAAGTAGTCTTTTTTGAATTTTGAGACCATGTTCAATCACTTAACCAATTTAAAATAAAAGTCTATAAGCAACTGGCTTTTTTTTTTCTTTTCCTTTTTTTTTTGGGGGGGGGGCATTTTACTGTTTTAAGTACTGCTGCCAAATGGTTATCCAAGTGAAAAACATTCTGATGAGTAGCATGTTTCTGTTAGGCCGGAAAAAGGACTTAAAGGAAAGAGGTTGAATCTACAAATGAAAACAGCATATCTGTAATCTTTCAAGACATTTCTAACATACTAGGCCCCCACCCTCATTAAGGGCAAGGACTATATGTTATGTTACATTTAAATCTTTTCCCATTTCTCACAAATAGTAAAATGACTCAGACATTGCTTAAATAATCTGAGTGCTTTTTCTACATATAACTGATTATGCATCCTTGGTCTCAAAATCTATGATATTCCTGACTCATGATACTTAAAAAAAAAAAACAAGTTTATGAGCCATTATGATCCCCAGCTAAAGAGTTTGTGAGTCGTGGATAATAATAATTTACCCAGCCACACTGAAAATATCAACATAGGATATTGTTTTTCATTTATGAGAGGGGCAAGAAAACAAACAAAACAAATACTCGGTGATACATGGAGTAAGGTAGACTATGTGAAACTTGGGTATTTTTACGGTTTGTTGGCACCAATCTCACGCCACCTTTGTGGCACAGGGTGGACTGGTAATGTTTGTTTTAAAATGTGACATAATGAAGCCAACTGCAGTTACCCTATAGCTATACTTACAAAACATATCAGGACACACAAAGATGTTCTCTGAAACATCACAACAAAGAAGAGGGAAGCATCAGGCAGTAACATCAATGGTATATTAACAGTATAATACTTAGTAAGCTATGATTTCTCAGTCTAGTGAAGACAGCCATTCAAGAGAATGGGATAATGATAAAACTATGTGAAGTGGCACATCCCAGTGCCAGCATTTTCAAAGGGTACAATATGCAGGTGTCTGCAGTCTTTCCTTTCTGCTTTGAAAGCACAAAGACAATTAACAGTTATTGTACATGGGGAAATGAGGACAAGAAAAGGCTTAATTTCTGTCTTAATATCTGTAAATTATTTCAATTGGGCATTCACTGGTACAGTGTTTTTTTTAAAGATTTACTTATTTATTACTTACATAGTGTTCTGTCCACAGGTGTGCCTGCATGCCAGAAGAAGGGATGAGATCTCACTATAGATGGTTATGAGTCACCATGTGGTTGCTGGGAATTGAACTTAGGACCTTTGGAAGAATAGCTCTTAACCTCTGAGCCATCTCTCCAGTGCCTTTATAGGTATAGGCTTTAAGTTGAAAAGTACATTAAATAATAATGTTTTATTACTTATTTGTTTTTCGAGACAGGTGTAGCCCTGGAAGGCCTAGAACTCGCTCTAGACCAGGCTGGCCTCGAACTAATAGATCTGCCTGCCTCTGTCTCCAGAGTACTGGAATTAAAGGCATGCACCACCATTGCCTGGCAATAGTAACTTTTTTAAATTAAATTTTTAAAGATTTATTATTATTTTATATGTATGAGTGTTTTGCTCAGAAGTGTGTTTGTGCACCATGTATGTGGCTGATACCCATTAAGGTCAGAAAATGGTGCTGAATCTCCTAGGACTGGAATTACAGATTTTGTAAGCCACCATATGGTTGCTGGGAATCAAACCTGGGCCCTCCACAAGTGTTCTTAATCACTGAGCCAACTCTCCAGCCCTGGAGATTATTGTTTAAAGTGCAAAGGCTGTGACACAGTAGACCTTACAACAGAGCTACAAATGCGTGACAGAACACTATGGCTGTATACACACGGAATGACTCCCAGCAGACAACGAGTGTACACTATGACAGCAGGGTCCCTTGTGAAGAACTAGATGGGGAAAGAAAGCAATCAGGCACGCTGGTTCTCAGAAAGACAACACTATATTCAGATTGGTTGGCTAGACCCTCTCTCGAGAGCTGAAATGAAACGTTGTTCACAGAGCTTTCCATCTTAAATTCATGTCTGAGTGACATCAGACAACACTGGGACACAAAGCTAAATAAGAGCTCTGAAGAGGAGCACTAAAGCTGGACACAGTGGCTACAACTAACAGAATTACACTGGTAGGCTGGCATATGCTGTCCTTGTAAAAAGGGGATGCTGGTGGTGAGGGCAGCTGTTTCTCAGACTCAAGCACTGCTACCGTAAGTGTCCCCCAACACTCCCTGCCCTGTTTAGGTCAGCTTGACCTCCTGCCTCCCTAACAGGAAAATAACAGCAAACATCAAAGGATACTTAAAACACTGCATCTTTGAGAATAGACAGAAGGCAGCAAACTATTTCCAATACAGGTTACTATTGTCTCTCCCATGGAATTAAAGTAGCTGCTTTGGGAACCAGATGCTAGAAACTCACAGAGAAAACTCTGCTTGCCTGGAGACCTCTTGGTAAGGAAGTCCAGTCTCAGAATTTCAGTTAATTCTGATATTGTAGGCACCTGATTTGATGATGTTCTTTTGTTCGCTTTCCCAATTAGGCCACTCCAGCTGTTTCTACTGGGTGCTTGTAAGTGCCTGATCTGATGCTTTGCTGTTTGTCTGCTGCTCCTATCTGTTCCTTCACTTCTTCCTGTTCCATACTCAATAAATTCACTCATTTGAAACCACAAGCATGACTATTGTAGATCATTCTCTGTACAGGACAGTGGCACACTGCTATAATTCTACCACCTAGGAGGCTAATGCAAAAGATTATGAGTTTGAGCATGGGCTACAAAAGAAATGAGGTATTCTAAAACCTATAAAAACCAAATTTGAAGATTTGAGAGATTGTACCTAGAATCCTTTATATAGAATCAATGAAGTAGGGGGAAATGAACAGAAGTTAAAAAAATACAAAACAAAAACCCTGCTACTTTTTTCTACCATATGTCTCTCTTGCCAAGGACCTATAACTGATGTACCAGGTTTTTACTAGGTGTACTTTAATGCTGACAAATCAAACGTTTCTAAACATGAGGCCCAATGGATTTAATAAATATCAAGTATTTAATATTTCCAATTTTAAGCCCAAATGTTTAAGGTGGATGTTAACAGCGTTTCCTATGATTAAGTTCGAAACTACCCTTTTTCTTCTTCATAGGTCCTCCAGAACAAGAGCTACACCTCTGTATTAGTGGACGTAACACATGCTAGAAGTAATCTAAGTTTTATCCACTGAGAAAGTGTTGCTCATCTAACTTACCGCCTTAGGAGCCACGTATCCACCAGGTGCCATGCCTATCCCAGTGGAAAGCTCAAACAGGTCATTCAGACCGCTGCTGACCACAGCAGGAGTAGGTGAAGGAGCGAAGGTTGCAGGCACTGATGACGGGATGAAGGACTGTCCTACCTTTGGGGGGAAAAGGGAAAGAGGTAAGAAAGAATAGTTTTGTTTTTTTTTTCCTTAAAATGTTACTTTGTTTTAACAACATTAATTAATCAATTACAGAACACTGAAGTTACAGTATTTATAGGAATCAAATCATCAGATTGTCTCAATTACTTTTTTCACCACTGTTAAACATACACACGCTTTAGAAGCTTTGTCAAGGCACAGGTAGGATGCAAGAACACAGAGATCCAAGATTTTTGTCTTGTTTGTTTCCAATTTTAGCTTCCACGATTCTGTGCAAAAAGGCCTACAGGTACCCTAAACAAAAGAGGATTTTGTGTCTATAGATTGAGGGAGAAGCATCCAACTTAAATATCCATTTCCTTTTGGGTTTGGCCACGTCTAACTTCCCATTTAGGCGTTAATACCTAGCAGGAAGCTCTCCTCAGGGAGATGATATTCACATCCATAGGAACTCAACTATGAGGAAAGTGTCTCCATGAGTCCAGCAAACTCTCTCAAGTTCTTTCTGGACACCAGGTCATAAAAGCATTCTGTAGTCAAGATGGGAGGTTCCATTTCCTTCAGCTCTTGAATGTCAGAAACACAAAGATCTCTACAGGCACCACAGCATCAATCCCTAAAGATGTCCCTAGAACACACGTGCTATGTGTCCCCAAGACTGCAAATAACCCTGTGCTCTCTACACTGCTACCGAGCTTGTGGCGTGCAGTGCTGGGGAGCAGCGGTGGCTCTGATAGCGCGGATGAAGGAAAGCATCAAACAGGGCAGAGCTTCCCATGGTGGAAAAAACAGATGGCACTTACTGCCGGGCTTCCTCCAATGCCCCCGCCAAGGTCACTGCCAAGCTGAAAGAGAGAAAGGAGAGAGAGGAGAGAGAGGTAGAGTTCATTTAGCTAAGTACTAGATGCCCACACAGATTCTGTCAATTGCTCTACCAAGTCATTGGAAATACATGCCATTTGACTTGTCTCCCAAAAAGCCTAAGGAATTGTAGATCGCCAAGAAACACATCCTGGGGAACCAAGTGCTGGTAGCAAAAGGGTGTGAGAGTTTTGCAAAAACTTAGAAAATGGAGCTGGCACATCATAGGGATGTTTCAGACCCAATTTTTCTACCCCAATTCATTGGCACAAATCCAGACAAGACTTAGTGTTTGTATATGCTAAGAAGCTCTATGCCCAAGCAGCGTTATGTTTCCTTTACAAAGAAATTTAGGGCGGGGGAGAAAAAGCAAAGGGAGACTAAACATGCTTTAACCTACAAAACCCACTGCCTCACTGAGATGCTGGGAACCAAACCTGTATTGAGTTGCAATTTCAAGCTTCAAAAATGACCGGTGGAACAGTTCTCAGTTGAGAGCACTCCTGGGGGAAAACAACTAGTACAGAACGACAGGCAGGCACCGCCCCACACCACCCACGGTCGGCAGCTCTAAGGAGAGATGCTGTGATTTATTTGGAGCTCGCCATTTGAAGGAGGCAAAGTAGAGAATTTGACTAATTGGTTAGTTGACAGGGAAACAATTACACAGGCTCTTAGTCTTCTTTCTTTCCCCTCACAGCTCTAGAACATACACAGTTCGCCCTGAAGGCAGTCTTGTCTTCCATGACAAGACCAATGAAGAAAACTGGAGAGGTTTAGCCAGTCACACACATAAGCATATGCGCACACACACACTAACGATAGGTACTATTTACAAAGCTGAAACTTTTTGTGGGGTGATAGTTGCAGTCCTGTATCTGTTTCCCCCCTAGCTCTCATCATATCTGCAACCTCTATGAATCACCAAGTGGCCTGCTCTAATATTTTTTGTTTAGTGGTAATAATTTAGAAATTGTGTTGGGTGGTAATCCAGAATGATGATTTATGAACTCAGAGTAATATATAAAATGTTGCCAAAACCTCAATCTTTACTCAGAAATAGTGAACCCCATGACAAAATTGTTTCATTTAAGATAGGAAGTTAATTCTAGCAAGTGCTTTAACCAAGCCAACATTTTTAGAATGTGGTTCTCAAAGATCATTTAATTATGTCATTGGATGATGCCAGATTCCTATCCAAATAGAAAGGTTATTGCAACCAAGGAGATGAGTAACTGAAAAGGTGCCCAAGCCAATAGAAATTGCACATCTCCTCTCCCTGGTTCTAGAATAATACATCGCTGCAGTAAGATGTCTGAAAAGTGTGGCATTCTTTTTATTCAGAAAAACAAATATATAACATTTCCTGCATGCAAGGCATGAAAAGATGCCAAGCAATGAAAGGAGCACAGATTAACAAGGGCAAGCTTTACAAGCTGGCAGGAAATAAAAAACTATGTAAAGGCTTGCAGATAACTATGCAGAAGACCGAATTCTGGGAGAATAGTCTCCTTGGGCCTGGAGGATAATGATGAGAAGATCAAAGACATGGCAAAGTAGAGTTCAACCTAGTGAGTCTTTTTTTTTTTTTTTTTTCCAGAGCTGAGGACCGAACCCAGGGCCTTGTATTTGCTATGTAAGCACTCTACCACTGAGCTAAATCCCCAACCCAAAGGAGAGTTCAAAACAAAGCAAAAAGGGGAAGAAGGGTCATTTCTCAACAGCATCCACAAAAGCTGAAAACACAGAGTTAAAGTGTGAGCAGGAAGGAGTTCGTCAATTAGACCGAACCACAGAGCAGATGTTTTGTTTTTAAAAGTTGAACCAAAAAAAGCTTGCAAAGGCAATACAATTTGCAAACATCTTTTAATTTTCCTCTTGACAAAAACCTGGTGTTTTCTGAGACTAACACTCAAACCTTTAAATAGTACTAACTACACTACTTTAGCTATATGCCCATAACCATGACTACTTTCAACCTTACGAACAGAACGGAATGAACCATCTGCATGTGCACATGAGCTTTAAAAGTTGCTACTGCCAGTCTCTTCCTCAGAGATAATCATTTACTTTTCTGAGGTGTCATCTGGGAGTTTGAAATAGTTCTTATAGTTCATTCTAATGTACACATAGCCAGGTTTGAAAACGCCACAGCAGAGAATTGTTTGAATTCAGACAAGATTCTTATATTAAAAAATGACTTTAGAGCCCACTTCTATATGAAATAAGAGGTCAGAATGTGAGCAGGAGAAACCCTTTCTAAAGAAGAAAAAGAAAGCTGAATATGAAACCCCTGGAAGGGGCTCTACAAAACATCCCATCCGTACTAATGCTGATGTGGTTTTTGACTTCCTAACATGCTTGCTCCTTCATTCCCCAAACAATGTCCTCTCTGACCAGGTTTGCAACCCAAGCTTGAAAGACAGAATTTTTATCAAACTAGTTGGCAAATGCTTAGAAGGAAAAACATATTTTAAAGAAGTTATAGTTTTACCAAATATTCAATAAAAAAGCACAGAGAAGAGGTAGCTATTGATGACATAAGCCTAAAGGAAGAAATGTCTGCTGCTCTGGAACACAGGCCACTACAGCAGACGTTGAGGATTACACCTGGCCATTTCCAGTTATGCTTTCTGCTTCCTGATCTATCAAGATGTGTAATCCTCTACCACACACTCCAGTTGCCATGACCTCTACGTGCTTTCCCTCCATGATGACTAAACAGGTATTTTATATATCACAGTGATGAGAGAGCTAACATAAAACCTATTTGTAGTTCTTGTTTTAAGACATGGTCTCACTCTGTAGACCCTGGACAGTCTGGAACTTACTATGTAGACTAGGCTGGTCTGCCTGCCTCTGCCTCAAGTGCTAGAAAGGTGTGCACCACCACACCTAATCCATTTCAGTTCTTCTCCCCGCCCTTAAATTTTTACTCTCATCTTCGAATATTAGAGAATATGGTGAAGGTTGGTCTCATGTGTGTTACTGCCATCAAGAACTGGTTACACCCATCCTTGTTTTCTAAACCTGCCTAAGACAAACCTGATTGGCTGATTAAAGAGCCTATACCTGGGCAGGGTAGAATGGGATAGGCATGGCTAAGGTTCCCAGGCTTTTGGGTTCAAGAGAGAATCAAGGGAGACAGAGAACAGGAAGAGAGGAAGAAGAAGGATGTCATGATGGGTTAGCCTAGAGAAGAAACCACATGGGGCCAAGAGGAAGGACTCCAATAATGGCGTGAAAAGGCCCAGATGATGAATAAAAGCAAGTATTTATAAGATTATGATGGAAGATAGGATGTTTAAGGAGGATGGTATTGGATGGGGGCTGGGAGATAGATGGTGAGATGATTCAGACAGTGCAGGTAGAAATATCTACCTAACCCAAGGTAAATAAGGCAATTATAAAATCTAACAGGTGTCTGTGTCTTATTATTTATGATAGTGGGTTAGATAATACTGCTGTGATAATCACAGAGCAAATAATAATAAATATTATACAGCACAATACTCATTTTTAAATTTACAACCACAAGAATACTATCTGGAAAAAATCTAAACACAGTATTTCCACATGCTATTGACCAATTTTATTTGAAACCACAGAAGAAACAATCTTGGAGGTTGCAGAGATGGCTCAGTGGTTAAGAGCACTGAATGTTCTTTCCCAGCACCCACACAGTGTCTCACAGAGGCAGAGGCAAGTAGACCTTTGTGAGTTAGAGATCAGCCTGGTCTACAAAGTGAGTCCAGGATAGCCAAAGCTACACAGAGAAACCCTGTCTCAAAACAAAAACAAAACAAAACAAAAAGATAAACAATCTTGATGCTCCTGTTTTATATTACCAACAATTCATCTAGAACCCAAAGCACAATTCATCTAGAATCTGACACACATAAGACCCAAAGGATATGAGATACAGTCAGAAATATAAAGGTTAACTTTATTGTACGATGATCAGAGTAAAGGAAAATAACAAAGCCAATGTTTCCCAGCTAGCAAAACTACAGTATAGTTTATTCAGACTTTATTTTGAATCTTCCCTCTTGACCTCAAAAAGAGTCCAAGGGAGGTCATCCTCTTCTTTGAGAATATGGCAAAGTGATAGCAAAATGTTAGGTGAGAGGCAGTGACTAATAGAGGAAGATCGGCAAGGAATGAAGCAACCCAATACATAATCCTATCTAACCACTACACTGATAAATGTAATGAGGCAGATAACCAAGAAAAACACCTACAAGAGTTATTTCACATCAGCGTTAACAAGACATTAGTTATTTCCAGTTCAGCTGCTGGTATGAGATTCATCCAGTAGGGTGTACTCCGAGAGCTCATTCTTATCAGGATCCTATTCTAAATCAATCACACTAGGACCTATAAAGGTCAGGTTTCTGTTAACCAGTAAGTTGAGAAAGCCAGGAGTAAAAACGAATTTGTGTCCCAATCTGAGGTGTCTAAATACTTCAAATTGTTCACATATTACATCTTATCATTCCCAGGATTGCCTTACTAATGTTGATTTCTCTCCATGAAGAAAATAATGTTAACCACAGGGCAACTAAATCAGAATACAAGAAGGAAGGAGAGGTGTCAATTTCAGAAGGGGAGGGGAGTAGTTTTTGTTTTGTTTTGAGACAAGGCCTTGCCATATAGCCTAGGATGGTCTTGAACTGATAATCCTTTTGCCTTAGTCTCTTGTATCCTGGAACCACAGATGAGCCAGCATGCATGGCTATGTGTAGTGTAATTCCCTATTTTCCACACTAAACCACAGGACTCGTTGCCATTAAATGGTACTACGAATAGAACTAACATTTGGCTACTGTCAAAGAGTTGTCACTTCACCATATCTAAAGTAATGCTTAATAAGAGCACTGGAATTAATGTTGGATTACACTGTAACAGGTCATTGCAGAACTAATCCAGGAACTGGACAGAAAGCAGTGATTCCATGGTGACCACTGTAACTTATAAACTGAAC